CCATAAAAAATGCTCCACTTAAAAATGAAATAAGGCCCAATGGGATATAAGATAATATAACTGACTCAATATCAAGCAAGATAAGCTCAATTATACAAACAGAATATGGAATTGAAAATGATTTAAAATGGGTTATTAAATGTTGGCAGAAGCAAAAAGGAAAAAAGATACAAAGGTAGGAATTTCTTCAAGTAAAGTCTACATTTATTCCAACTGTTTTATAGTAATGGTTCAGATAAACTTTATATATATATGCATTTAAAAAATATTTAGCTTTCATTTCTATTTACCATTGTAATAAATAGGATATTACATAAAATTTGAAAGAATACTCAAAGACGTAAAAAAGAAAATAAAATCATTAGCATTTGTATCATTTAGAGATAATGTTTGATGTCTATCTTCTTGATGTTTCAAAATACTTATATAATGTATATGTACATGTGTTCTGTATCTTCCTCTTTTTTTTTTTAAGAAAATATTGTACATACCTTCTAAGCTCATAAACAGACTTCAAAAACTAGATTTACTCTTTGGACTTTGGACAAAGTCCAGCATCTCCTAGATATTCAGCACAGTATATTTGATTTCAAAATGTCATTCAGCTGATTCTCACCGAGATAATACAGTTAAAAGATCACTGTTCTTCAAGCAGTCGGACAAGTTATCCACAGCAGCTTCCAAGGTAAGGAGCGCTTCCATTACATAACCCTGCCAAACATGCAAAGATAATAGTTTTGTACTGCTTAGAACCACTGCTAACTTCCTGAATATACATTTTATTAATGTAAACTTTATTCCAATAATGTTAATATCATTGAAAGCTAGACAGTCATTGCTGCTTTAATTTATGAAGTCTAAAAACAAATTTTAAGGGCCACTTAGGAAATTCAGATGGCTTGGAAGTTACCAGATAATCATAAGGATTTATTTCCCTAGGTCTGAGAGCCTGCACAGATCAATCTCATTTGAAATCTGACAAGGAGGGGGCAAGCATGGCCCCTGCTAAGGGGAGGGTGAGCATTTGACATATAGAGTGCCAATGTCTGAAAGCTGGAGATTAAGAGATGATGTATGGGAAAGGCTGTGGATCAGCAGGGTTTTAAACAGCACTCCTGATGGCCAGAAGGAGGAAAAGAGGGCAGAGTCTGCAGGTGTGCAGGCTTCCTGAGATGCACAAAATTTCTAATGGGAGAGAAGGGGTTGGCCTGAGCCACAAATCTTATAATGCCCCTGGCTTCCAACCTGCCCATCTCCCAGTCTCCCCAAAGGGTCTCATTGTGGCAGCTACTGTGTCCAGTTCCTCTTCAGCTCTTCTCAGTCTACTGAAGGCTGATGGGACAAAGGGGGTTGGAGCTCTGCACAGATACAATGAGGACCCTCACTCTGGGTGGGGAGGCTGTATAACTGCATCCTAGGTTGCTGGCAAAAACCCAGAACAATACAAAATAACTCCCAGCTCCACTGGCCAAATAAAACCACCACCAACAACAAAAAAACAGAGGAGGAGCCACCAAAGGATTTGCAGGTGTTCGCTTTATAAAACAGAACAGTATCCATTGAATTTCTAGAACAATGCTCCTTGGAGTGATTTTTGTAAAAATAAAAGTCAACCTCTAAAATTTTTTCATCAATTTTACATGTCCAAGTAGCTGCAATAATTGGTGAGAGAAAGAATGTTCAAAGAAAGTTGTTAACTCCTCATCTTCAAAATGAGAGAGCTCGCCCTTCATGAGCTCAGTGGTCTGTCCTTCCATACCTGAATCTCATCTCCGTGTTCTCCGATCACCTCCACCAACCTAGAGAGAAGGTCAGATAAGGCGTGGGCTGACAAAGGTTGCTTGAGGGCCCGGAATATCTGGAAGGACCGACCGGCATAGTGCCTGGAAGAACTTGCGAGTGCTGTCTGTAATGCCACTTCACTCAAGTGTTGCTCCAGGTGGAAACCTAGGGCAAGAAGAGCCAGAGAATCGGTCAGCCTTACTCTGCAAACTCAATCAAAGCCACCTGTGAGTTGAAAACAGGCTAACTGCACAGAGCTACCTTTTGGTGGTATTTACTTAAAAAACAACCATCTTAAAACAAGTACAAATTTTTAATAAATCTTAGGGAGGCATAGTGTAGTAGAAAGAGGCAGAAGCTTTAGAGCAAGATGGTCCTGGTTTTGAATTAGGGGCTTTGTAACTCTAGGAAAGAAACTTGTTCTTTAGGAGCCTGTTTCCTTATCTTTAACTTGGGAGTAATAGCACTATCTCATAGAGTTGTGAAAATTAAACTTATGGAATGCCTGGTCCAGTGTCTGATACATAACATGAGCTTACAAATGTATTATTATTTACTAACCTGTTATTTTTCTATATT